TTTATTGCGGACTTGTCTAGCTCGTAAACCAAACATCTGTTCAAACGTCTACCATTTCCAGTCATATCAAATTAATGTTAAATCTTATTTCCATACTGTTTACTGAAGAAGTGGAATTTATGATTTGTGGATTTCAAAGAACTCCAAAGAGTTTTTGAACAATCTTCAACAATCTTTTTGAAAACACGTTTCTTCTAGAACATCGGATATTTTTTACTTTTTATACATCAATGACTTCGTTCTGTTTCATGAGAGCTATCTTTTTCAAGAAAAATGAACGGCGATACAAATACACGGTTGTAAACTACACTGAAGCGTATTTCCTGAAAAATACGTCCAAGTCAAAGAAGAAATATTCGGAGAACGAAATCTTAAAAACGTTTCTGGTTGTCCACATCTTCGTGGAGATTGGTGGCAGGATCTTCCAACACACTATTGCATACCAATTGGAACTAACTGTGTCCCTCTATTTGCTGATTTTTTTTATATCATATGAGGCCGACTTTATCGAAGAGCTTATCAAAACGGGTCACAAAAACCTTGCAAAGGCTTTTAATTTATTGAGCATGTCTATAGTATATACAAGCCAGAAATATAAATCAAGAAAACGGCAATCTTCTACATCAGCTCCTTCTCTCGATCTTTTCCGTTTCTGGATAGTAACATTCCTGCAGCCCTAACCTGTACGGTTTACATGTCGCAGTTCATACAATAGCAAGGACCTGTTCCCATTATCACGATATTCGTGGACTGCTCTTCCGGAACATCTGGCCTTATTCGTCTTGTACCTGTTTAGGAGTCTTCTTGTAAATTTCTCCTTTGTTCATATTTTGCCATAGTTTTATTGAATTTTAGTTTGGATTATGATTACTTTAACCTTTTGGTATTTCTTGTTGTTTTTCTGGTGAACACCATTATAATGGGATTTATCAAAGATCAAAGACAGTCGCATTTTTCAATACCCGTTTTGAATTAGGTAGAGTATATACACTTTGTAGCTGAGATCTCAGAAACTACATCATAAAGCTATTTCGTCTTTTCAGGACGTCTATCAAATATTGGGCGATAGGTCATTGGAATAAACCTGTAAGATTTTCAACATATTTATTTGTTTTATCATTGTTATTATTTTTTCATTTCATTTATTTTGTTTTGTTTTGTTTTTTGTTTTTTGTTTTTTTTTTTTACATTTCTGAAGAATGAAATAGTAATTGAATAAGGTTCTTTCTCACATAACCTGTCAATGTTTATTGAAATACCTGAAACAATGTATAGGTTTATACTTGAATTCAAATTCATAACTAATGCCAGAAATAAATAGCACGCGAAAAATAAGTAATAAACAGTAAATGGATCAGAACGGCTGTACAGTTACATCATATTCAATAAGTGACCAATGCAAATATATTGCGAATTAGCGTAACCCTTTAGGTCACTACACAAAACAAACACTTATATTGATTGTGTTATGCTGTTGTAATTTTATACTGTATAATAGTAGTTCTGATAATGGAAATTCTAGCTTACTAACACCTGTTAAACGATTATAATATATAAAGATGTATGTACAAGTGAAGGATCAGGTTTTTCTGTCAGTGTGAAAGCAGTCTGAAGAACAACGTAATCAAATATAAGGAGCCTTTACGAGAAGACATTCTAAAATGCAAAGCGTGGTAATGTAAAACTCATTCTGTATGTAAAACTTGGTATTTCAGATTCCTGGTGCGCTACGGTCGGAATCATCCTGACCGACTCCAGATAAAGGCTTGTCACATTTTTCTATTATCAAAACCATTTTGATTTCGTCCTCTTAGAAGTATAGACAGCTTAATCTGTATTTGTCGAACATATAAATATAGATATTGAAATTATTAATTCATTTCAATATTTAAATATATCAAATTGTTATTACCATATAAAACTGTTGTTCTATCTGCAGTCATGTAAATATTATTTTTCATATAAATTAAAGTGTTTCACAACCTATAAACACGACGTTAAACTGCAGAGTTTTATAATTGACAGTAAGCCGATCATCATACGTATCATTGTGAAATGCACACACACACACAAATTCATTGCACTCCCTGTCATTACTGATCGTTCAAGCGACCATTAATCACCCAGACCCCCATCATATATTTACGGACACTCTAAGTGTTTGGAAAGTGATCTTTGTCAGTGAAAATTCAGCTACAATAACGACCTTTAATGCTGATCAATTGATGAAATCAAAAGACTATCAGTGCGTAGAATTTATAACCAGACTTGGTCATCATCAATACTATTTACATTTCGTCCATTTCACATACAAATTGATAACAGCCCGGTGTTCCTTTGATAAAGCCTATCTATAAATGACCAGGATTAATAACGAACTTTCCATACTTATTACTGTTGTTACATTCCAGACTGGTCTCTCCACTGAACAGGTAAGTGGTAACTTTGTGTATTCTACTTATATAAATAGGTGTTATGAAGCAATATATTGCATTGTCTATTCGGTGTTGCAAGTAAAAAATTACCCAGATTTTATAATCATAGGCTTTTAATTTCTAAAAATAATTAAAAACTTCCTTATTTTGGATTTTTGCTTTCATTTTTTCAATATTTGCTTTTGTGTATTCAACTTTGAATTAATTTACATGTTCAGAGTATTCTTTTTTCCATATTCTAAATTAATTGCAATATGGAGTATGCTATGCTTTGTTATGCTAGTTTTACATATTCTATTTAACTTTCGAAGGAATATTGTCTAAAGAACATGTCACAATTTAATTTCATTTGATCAATAAAGCACATGCATTGTGCATCTCTCAGTTTTCAAAAGATATGAGTTTACTCCAAGAATTGTACACAATGAACAAAAACATCGATGTCATCTTAAAATGTAAATCTATAACGATTGTCTAATAAAGCATTGCATAATACACTATTGTTTTTTGTCATTCTATGACTCGGCAGTGATAATAGGGGTCTTTAATACATGCAACTGTGTAGATATAAAGGAGCACTAACCCCCTGCACTGATATTCGATAAATTTCGCAATGTTCATACCAGGATGATTTGTTTTAGAAAAATAATACCGAGATCGATCATGTGTTTATTTTGTGATAAGTCACGTGTAAAACTATATCACAATTTCAGGGCATACACCTGTCTATATTTCGCCTAGAATACCTGTCCAGCATCCCATTAATAATGCTATTGAAGGATCTCTCTTCTCACCGATGTATTTAGATTAGTATCAGATATTAATCATTCTATTGTAAATACATTAAACCAATATAATATCTGTAATGACAAATTATCTCTCCATCTATACACAACGTATTGTTTGATTGTTAAAGCTACGGTTAATGACCTTTGTAAACTAATACCGTATTACTGGTAACTTTCACGAGTAAAAATTTCCGTGATTTTTTTTTCGAATGATAATTTAACGAATAAACCATCTTGATGTAAAGGGACTTGTATACACGTGTGTCGCATCATTTCACGGATTGTATTTTCGCGATCATGATATTGTACCGCGAAACAGCGAAAACATCATCCCCGCGAAAATTATAGGCGATACAGTAATTCACTACTTTTACCATCAAGTTTGGTTCATTGAAGCGTAAACGGACATAAAAGAAAAGAGAAAGATTCCATCGGTGCAGTAAATAAAACCGGTGTTTTCTATCTCTCTTCTAACTCAGTACAAGACACACTAAAACACGATTGTTTATCTGGTCCAACATTAGTCCAATTTTAAATCAAGACAGTGGAATACATTTTCTCAAAATCTGATTAGTTAACATTAAAAGTTTAATTGCTATTTAGTGTAAAAACTGTACAAAAGGCACACATGCGAATAAATTAACATACAGTAGAGTGAAAAATGAATTAAACTGCATCACAAAGTTTTTCGTCCTTTTAGGTTCGTCATTAAAGTTAAGAGTTTGAAGCCAGCAAGGCGACTGAGAAAAATACAAAGTGTTATATTGTAAATAAATCGATGCCGTTTACAGGGAATTAGCCGTATGCGAATTTGCATCATTATTGAAAATGCATAATTAGGAATTTCAAATGACGAAAAATTCGTTCCATTGTAAATTTCCTGGAAGTCGTGTTGAAGATTATAAATTATCTTCATGAAAAGGAAAATGGAGATAGATTTCAGACTTATCTCGTAAACGAAATCACAGAATTTCTATATTTATGTCGTGTAATATTTTTTTCTTCACTCAAATTATAAACTCAGTTTGACTTTTATATCTTAACTCATAGGTATTATAGATATTCATTAAAATGATATAATTGAAATACATTTAAAATTGATAATCATCTCTTTAACTAATGATGATGAAAACGCTCTGAATTCAATGTCAAGTTTTTTGTTCTCCACAAGGGGCACCGTCTTTGATAAAGTTCGGGTAGCGGTGTTACAGTTGTAAATCCAGGTTATCGTCACTGAGGGCTATTTGATGTTTGTATCTGCACTGAGTTGTAACGCATTCATTTACATATTAAAAGAAACTAGCAATATATGAGAAAGGCTTACCTACATTGGGGCTTTAATCACACTGAAAATCACTGAATCCTAGATAATGTGTATATATTTGCATCTATTTGAAAGGGATTTCTCCCTTTTATTTATAAATATATTGATACTTTACTCTACCCGAACAAATTATTTCAGAAAAGGAAACATGTGTATGTAATATACAAGTTCTTATGTTAATGTATGTTATTGAGTTACGCTTTCCATTTCAGTTGAGAAGCACTCTATTTCACCACAGGGAGCTTGGAAACAGGAGTAGATATGATATTTACAAACATATATATTTGATTTAGCTGTATGTTAGGAACTACTGGTGTGAAATGGTGTTATTGGATGTGTTCAGTGTTTACAAGATTGACATGAAGTCAAAAGGATTGACTTGTTTATGTAGAAAAGGTATAGAGATAAGTTAATTTTGCGCTCTTCAAATGTCTACATTTTTATGAAAACATCATGAAAGACTCCTCAAATATAGTTGTTGTTAATAGAGGATATTATGTGAATAAGGATGAGAGGGTCTGTCGAAGATTTCTTCACTCCGCTCCAATTGGTCGGAAGCGAGAACACCAACCTTTGGATAAAGATTTCAACAACAATAGTCGTCTACACGACTATCTTAGATGCAAACAATTCTGGCTACATGGGACATATAAACATGTTAATCAGGTAACCATGGCAACAGGTCAACGCAATTTCAAAAGGGAGAGGACAAGTATTTCTCATTATGGGTCTTCAACACCTACGTGTTATTCAAGGGAACCAACCAACTTTTCGAGAATCTCATCGAGAAATACAATTACTCCATTTCTGATCACACAACAACAGAAAACAAAGAATTGTTGGATTACTGAACAAGAAAGAAGAGACCTCAGTTCAACAGCGATCCGAGAACGGCTAAAATCTGAACGGTCCAGAAGACGATCTGCAAAAACAGACGAGAGCAATGAAAGATCACGTTGGCAAAGTGTTGTATCGATCGAACGAGACGTGGAACGGAAACCAAATATTCAGGTAACTATACGACTTCATCGATTCTTACCGATTTTGCCACGCTGATACGCTGGCAATTTTGTTGGGTTGGTTTTTCTTTTGAATTAAGTCCTGGATATTTTCCTCGCTGATTTCTTTTTCCGCGTTCACTTTACGTTATCACTGACATTTCTAAATCACATGGCAATTCAAAACTATGCATAATCGAATCATTTCATGTCAGTGGACGTTTTTAGAACGTCTTCAATTTTTTTTTCATTAAATAACCAACTTATCGCAATATGTGTGATGCTCTTTTTCTCGATCGAGTGACCTCCGAGAAATGTTACTGAATATGTATTCCTTTACTGTCGTTATCTGGGAACTCTTTACGTTAATTTGTACAAAATTTAGATGACATCATGAACGTCCAAGTCAGATATTCGGAGGAATAAATAGTCAAACAAATTCAAAAGATTTGCTGAATTTAAATCTCCTATGACAGTGCTAAAAATAAATCATGATAACATTTTTTTTTGCAGATAAAAATTCTGTATAAGCTAATGTTAACACTACATTACATCAACAGTAAGTGAACGTTATATTCATATTGCAAAACAAATTTCCCATGACAAAAATCACTATAAAACGTTTGGTTATTAAAAAACAATTTTGGTATTTTCTCAAACGAACAAAACTGTAAAAATATCCGGAAAGTGAATGTTCGTTTCAGATAGGAAAAAATATCACAGAATTTAACACTTTATCATTGGCATACCTGTATTAACCTTTCAAAAGTCAGTGAATACCTAACACGCTTTAAACGAATGTCACTGAGCCGAGCACATTATACGCTTCACTGGTCATTCTTCCACTCTATTTCTCCAATATTGGCTGTATATTGAGAGTTTTTATAGCAAAACATGTAGAGTGAGGCTTATATCTTTCGGCTGATTGAAGTATAATTTACTAACGTGGGGTTCTACACTATAGGCATATATATTTATATATAAGACTTTTATATTCAGTCCATATTTTTAGAAAAAAATATTTTCATACCTTCGTTTCATTTCACCTCAGGGAATCAGACTTTGGGTTATTGACTGAGCTGTGTGTGACCGCTTAAAACGAGTAACTCATCCGGGTCAGTGAAACAGAAAAACAGTAAATCAGTCAACATGAAAACAGATTATAAGTAACCTGAAATAATCCGTGACTTTGATTTGAAGTATTGCTTATAACAATATCATTATATCATAATGTCACATGTTGTTTGTTATGCGATTTAAATATATATACATTGTACTTATGGTCAATAACTGAATTCAACACGTGTCTATTGATGCATCGAGTATTCGGTCAATTTTTCCAAAACGTATACACAACAAAACCATGTCTGTAAGCAAAGGTGACGCTGATGGATGGCAATTCTTGTGATATACCATTATAAACTTTACATTAGATAAATACCTGGTCCCACTTGTATAAAACATCTCAACTTGAGATTTCCTCAAGTCGAGATTTTCCTCGGCTGATATCTCCTCAAAAACGGCTTGTATAAAATTTTCCCAAGGAACAGGAGGATGGCATCGGCTAGGATGTCCTGAAATTCCTTGAGGAATTTTCATACAAGATATTTTCAAGGAGATATTAGCTGAGGAAAATCTGGGCTTGAGGAAATCTCAAGTTGAGATGTTTTATACAAGTGGGGCCAGGAGTTATTCAACCAAGAAAAGTGATAGATACAAGACCAAATACTTAGCTGAATATCACGTCACGTATCAGAGGTCAGTTGACCTTGTGATCAACCACAGGTTAAATCAAATATCATGTTATCATTTAAAACATACAAATGTTTGAAGCGTTAGTGTTGTCACTCGTTGGATGTGCCCTATGTTGCTCCTCTGATGTTCCTGTTGTCACTCATATAATGTATCATTTGTCGCTCGTCGCGCGTACCTGTTGTCGCTCATCAGATGTAATTGTTGCCATTTGCCTGATGTACCTGTTGTCACTCGTCTGATGTACCTGTTGTCTCTCGTCTGATGTATCTGTTGTCTCTCGTCTGATGTACCTGTTGTCTCTCGTCTGATGTACTTGTTGTCCATTGTCGGGGTACATGTTGTCACTCTGATGTACCTTTTGTTTCACGTTTGACATATCTGTTGTCGCATATTTGATGTACCTGGTGTGTCTAATGTGCTTATTGTCGCTCATCACGTATACATGTTGTAACTTATCGGGTGTACCTGAATTCTCTCGTAGGAGGTACTTGTCGCTCTTCAAGTGTCGCTGTTGTTCCTCTTCTGATATACATATTGTCTCTCGTCGATGGTACTTGTTGTCGCTTGTAGGGTGTACATGTTGTCGCCCGTCGAGGGTACTTGTTGTCGCTTGTAGAATGTACATGTTGTCGCCTGTCGAGGGTACATGTTGTCGCTTGTAGGGTGAGATGTTGTCGCCCGTCGGATGTACCTACAATATCCTTATGTATTTTAACAAACCGCACGTTTGTCGCAGAGGCTGACTTTGTGTCATAGGCGTCATTGTGTTTGCTTCTAACAAAGTGTCAGACGATTTAAAAAAAAAAAAAAAAAAAAAAATCCTCTGATGCTTATTTTAGAACAGACTCGCGGCAGATAAATATGTTCGTTAAATCAACCTATTATAGTGTGACTGTCATTTGTAAGAAAACAATGCTTTTAGGCAAAAGTTAATACCCACTTATTGACCAATCAGAGAACGGAAAATACACAGCCTTATTGTAACATATTATGGACTGTTTGAACAAGGCAATAGGGGTATATAGATAGCGTGTCAACACGTGTACTTAACTGGTTCATGTGAATAAAAAATAAAACATTAGAATAATAACATATCTGGTCACTTTTAAATGATATATAGCGTAATACAAGTTAGTAATTAACATCAAAAGGACTAAATATATAAATGTATATCATTGGGTGACTTTTATGATAATAAGCAGTTGATAAAGAAATAGCTAAAACGCATATACACATCTTAATAACTTAATGATAAATAACATATTCTCATTCGCGTTGCAATGCCTCAATACAAACTAGAAAAAAACTGAAGTTTAAGATACAACGAATGCAATCCAACGTTATCATTGAGGGATAAAAGCATGGTGACGGCTAACTGTCAAAATAACTGAGCAACTTGACAGGCTACTTTGTCCATGAAAATGTTACTTTGATTCAAATTAAGATATAAATCAGTAATTTGATTTAAAAGCTCCGACATTCCTAATCATAAACATATAACGACAATTCAGGAATTCCATCATCATCATCATCGTCATCATCATCATCAACATCATCATCATCATCATCATCATCAATCATCATCATCATCATCATCATCATCATCATCATCATCATCACAAGCAGCATCTGAAAACGTAGTTGACGATGGATTTGAAATCAATCGTGATACTTGTCTTGTAAACACAATCATGTCGGTACAATCATTGACAAAGCAATTAAAAGGTATCATTTCATCTGAATATTATACTTTCTTTTTTTGCATCCATGGCACCAAAAATAAATCCGAAAAAACACCCTGTCTGTGACAATACAAACACTACATCCCTTGTGTGTGTGTTTCATATACGGTTACACATAGATTAATATTTAAGTAACATATATGCATTTCATTTCTCAGGCAATCAATCGTTTCCGAGTGGCGATTCTATGTGTACGGGTTCTTGTCCGATGGTTACGAATAATAATTGTCATCAGTGACCGGATGACGTCACGGACAGCCACAGAAGAACAATGGTATACCCTGTACAATAGCAACGAAGCACGTGCTCTAGCTTTCAACAAATCAATGTTCGCGAGAGAACGAGTAAGTAGAACTAAACTGCTTGTCTCATTTTTAAAATAGACCACCATGACTATGTGATGTACACAAGTTTTCCTTTTTCTTTGGTTACGTTTTTGTAAAACAGACTTACACAATAATTAAGGCTTGTCCAACCTTAACTCTCATACCCCTTATTGTTGTGTCTAAATCAACAAAGGAGGTAACTGACAATTAACTTCTAAATTTGCTTTCGCGGATTTTATCATTATTAATCACTTATAAAAATTAAAATCAAACTTTGATAGAGTTATGTTTAATCGATGCACAAGTATTACTACTTTATGTTGTAAACAGCGTGTCAGTATTGTTTGTTGTGAAAACAAGAGTGTTATCTAGTATTTCTTGATCAGAAATCAAAATGCATTGACATATTACTACTGACAGAAAAAAATGATGAAAGTAAAAAAAATGAAAAAATAATAAAATGAAATAAATATATAGATGAAATAGATTTATCAATCAGTCTTTCCAGTGGTTGCTAGTTTTGTCTTTCTCATTTCACAGCTATGTATTGTGTTCTATAAACTACTGAATAATTCAACGGTTATAAGAATGCAAATAGAAAGTCTAACAAGTTGTATTCTCATACTTTAATTCTAATAGATCTTTGTTTATTTATGTAGACATTTGCGAAAGTGCCAAACTGGGCGAAAGAGATTTTAAGCCAAGAACCGGAGGAACGGACAGAAACAGATTGCCGGAGACTTCACGCTCTCCTTCGGGGACTAAAAAGCTTTGACAAATTTACGGAAAAGATACAATTGTCAATGTGCAGGGCCTTCCGATACATAAGGTTTGTGTTATCTATTGATACACAGCATAGTTACACACTTACAAAAAGTGCATTTAGTTATTTTCATATATTATCTGGTGTTATGAATCTCTAGACACTTATGATATAATAATTACTTTTGTAAACGCAGCTTAAGTAGAAATTAAAACCATTTCTATGTTCCAAAACTTAAGCCGCATTTAAATTGTCTGAGGTAGTTGAAGAATGATATAAAGTTTTGACGTTGTTAGAAAAAAGGTTTTTGGTTTAAATGCTGTTTGTGTACTGTATAAGAGATTAATTTTCCTCTGTAGGCAAACTTTGACCTTAATGGAAGTTTTCTACATCTTGTTTTTTTAACTTGAACAATAGAAAATAATAACGTGCAGTTAGGTGCTCCATATATATTAACAACCAGAATAGCCAATCTTGTATAACAGATCACATCATGCTTTTTGTATTTCATGGGTTACAGTGCAAGATGTATAGAAGACAAATAAATGAATAACACCTTTCAATACAAATTTAGAATTAGATACATTAGAACGAAATAATAAACGCCCTGCCTCACACAACTGTTTCGTCCTTCAAGGCCTTAATTGTTTAAACATTCAGGATGTGAGAGGAAAAATCTATACGGGTTGAAACAAAAAAAAACTGAGAGAAAATGTACACTAGCCCCATAATCTAATAGTTTCTGATACAAACTCTCGTTCTTTTACATGTTGTTTATAATCGAGAAACGGTTTTCGTTTAACTCCCAGTCGATGGATGAAACGAGGAAATATTTTCACTGCGAAATATGAAAACAGGACGAGAATGATAAAAGAAGGGCTAAGATAATCACTTACATCACAATGAGTTTTAAAATATTTTTGTGACATGACATTCTCTTCCATGAAATATGTTTTGGTAGAGTATATATGAATGAAAGCTGAAAGGAGGAGTACATTTCCATGTCAATTCAAACATTCAGGAACTTGTTTTCAGACATTTTTCACTGGTAGACTTTCTACTCTTTGTTTCAGTGTGGAGCACGGTAGAGTGATTTTAAGGCGAGGACATGTTGGTTTTAATTTCTACTTTATCTACTCCGGCTCTGTGTTTGTAAATCTGGAGGACAGAAACATCGACGGGAAGAAATTTGAGAAAACCGAGACTGTTCTAGTACGCGGAGATGCATTCGGGGTAGGTACCTGTGTGTGAGGCTATATATATCACATCAGCGGGCATGGTCGTCGGGATAGCTATAAGGAAGTTTCTTTTTACGTATTTGTAAGCACACATCATGCACATCAACGAACCGGTGAATGTCTCTTTATGTACTGTATATCATAAAACTACATAATGTTATCACCATAGACGACTGAGTACACAGTCCTACTGGCCGTTATTTGGTTTAGCCTTATGTCAAGTTCTGACACAAGTAGATTTTCACTGAGAAATAAGGACTGTTCTTTCGTGTTTGAGCGACTTGTAGTAACTGTACGATAGTTTGCATTAAATTGAAATTGTCGATAAATAAACAAATAAGTAAATAAATGCAGAATGTGATCGATGTTTGAATTTGCAATCTTTTGTCAGTGGAAGACGTCATTACTCAAAATTCAACTTCAGCATGAACTTCTCACAAGACATGCATGTACGTGGCCTCTTGTAACATGTAACGAACAAAAAATCATTTTCCGTACAGGAGCTGGCTCTTCTTCAGGACATTCGTCGTACAGCGTCCATCACGTGCCGCGAGACATGCGAGATGTTGGTCGTTGATAAGGACACATTCGCGAAAGTGTGTCCTAAAATCTTTGAAGAGGAACTAGAGGAAAAGGAACGCTTCTTATGGTTTGTATGATACAGGAATTTCGAAAGTTAAAAAAAATTGGGAAGAAATATTTCTGCAAAGCACTGATATTCACACTTTTTCTCCGCTTAGTTTTATGAAAACGAGAACTTAAACAGAGACTTAGAAAAAAAACAATGTTTAAGGAAAAGATTAAAAAGTTTTATGATCTGTCAGTTGAAATAAATAGTTTGTCCTAGTTTTACTGTATTTCAATTTGTGTTGTGGTTAAGTTGACATGTTGGTATTTTCTTGTTGCATATTTTAAGTCACATTGCAAGAACTACTGACGGCATGCTTGATGAGATTGAACAACAAATTTGACGATATAACGCCGTCTTTTCTGTTCTTGCAAAATGTGACGCCTATAATGAACACGTTGTCTGGGACCATGATCATCAACCGTATATCTGCTTACGTAAACGTAGATACATGATTTATATACAATTGAAATTTAATTACACAAATTATTTTTTCAGTCACCTGCCATTATTCAACAGTCGAGTATGGACAAAAGAGATGATAAAACGAATATGTACAGAGGCTCAAATTCAAGAAGTATGTCTCAAACGTCTCATTGATTCAAATTATGTTATACAGCAGGGCTGACTCTGTCAAAACATTATATATCTGTGTTCATAAGCCTCGTTATGCATTTCAGTGTCTTTCTGAATATTGATATGGTGATTATATATGTATAGTATCACCTTTTAAAAGTTATAAACATCCGTAAGGAAAAGGTTATGTTTTGAGAAAGTTTTGAATATTAACTACCATTTCTGAATGCATCAAATATTCAATAAAGAGTTTCAGCACAAATATTTACCTTTGACCAATAGGGTTAATGTTAACCTCTGAATTTAAAATCCCAGTTAAAATAATCTAGGTTTTTAATCTAATAACTCAAATATTTACGAAAACAGCCATTCAATGTATCTGAATGAATGTTTCTGTGACAGTACAAGACTAATAAGGTGATCGTGGTTGACAGTGACGAGGAATGGATTTATGTTTGTATGGAGGTAAGGAAGAGAGACAATTACAATTACACAGAGTAAAGGAAGTTTACTCAAAATGAAAACAAAATTCATTAGATCAGTTAATGTTAAGCATGAACGACGATGTATTTGATATTCTATATAAAGCATTAACACATTCACATTATTGTTAACTCTATCTATGTTTCCTATGTAGTTAATCGCTATGTTGTCGCAAGTGGGAAAACTATCGAAAACACAAAAACTGTCAATTATCAATCTGCTAAGTGGAGAAACAAATACCGATATAACCAAGCAGCATAATGGGAGATAACTCAGAAACATTATTCTTTTTTTTATTTTTGTGAAACATATATAGATCGGCAAGGTTTAAAATTAAAATATAATTAGGAAAAAAAAAACAACTTTGATCTGAATTTTCGAAAATAACACTTTAAGACAAATTATTGTCGTTGTCAATGAATATTCAAGATTTCCTCTAACTTAAACGCAAACAAATTAACACTTTCTGAAATATTCTTTGTTTGTGGGATGTATATCTAATTTTTACCAAAAGCGATACTCAAAGAAAGAGCTAAATAAACACTCTTGATATACTTACTGCAGGGGAAATGCCAGATCATCAGGAGAGTGGCTTTAGATATAAAGACAAATCAGAAGAAATCCTCAGCGACAAAACGACCTTCCACACCAATGTTGTCTGACGAGGTCCTGGACATTCTTGGCAAACTGAAAACCATACAGGACAACAAGAGTATGAGTTAATGTTACAGTAATCCTTAAGTTAACATCTGATGCTAATTGAAAAGATAAAAAAAAACAAAAGCAAAAAACCAATGTTTAAACAAAGAATATTATTCAAAATACTATCATGATTTACACAAATTGTGAGCAAATTCGAAAGACCAACGCTTTTAAGGAAAATAAATTTGAGATCTTGTAAATATAAATACGTATTAGATTTCTATTTAAATGACAATTTGTACTCCTCTGTGTAGTGTCCATATAATTGATATCGTATTTTATTCAAATATTAGATAAACAGGAGGCCGAATCAGATGATTCTGATGATGAAATCGGTAAAGAAAGAATGCTTGATTCTATGTCTCTGGAGTATCGTAAGGACGGCAGGGTAACTAAACTTACTCACTCGTTTACCAATATCATATTCAAGAATTTGCATTCAAGACATATTCCAAAGTTCATTTCATAGTCAAATTATGTTTAAACAAAAATTCAATATGCTGCTTTTTTGCTTTTTACGCATTTCTTCTAACAAAACAGCAAATAAGAAATGCACATGAATGTATGTTTGCAAAAAATATTATGTAAATCTGCGAGAAATTCTGAACTGCAGGATATGTCTCTAAAATCAATTATCAAAACTATCTATGTTACAACTAATAGTATTATATAATATAATATAATATAATGTTACATGATATAATATCATATCATATCAATGTATTATCGTTTATGCTGTATGACAAAAGAAAGCAAATCAGTAGTTCTTTGTGTCATCTGGTTTTTTTTTTTTCAAAAGTACAAAAAATAGCTTTTATAGTTAGCTTTTCAAAATAGAAATAGTGTTTCGTACAATACCATTATTAAATTTCAAAATCATATGATATCATGTATGATATACAAATTGATATCTGGAAGCTGTGAAAGCATTCATTTTATTGATGCATAATAAAATTTCGGAGTAGAAAATGGTGACTTAATTAGAAAAAGTAAAGAATATTCTTTTGAGAATCATATTTGAATATTTTGTGTATGAATGGCAATTTGGAAATTGATCTGCAGAGAAACCATGAGCTACATAATATCTATTATCTAAATTCGTTCGGATATTAATAATTTCACAGTATTATGCTATTTCTTAATCTCTTAAATGATGGATTACTTCTTTTATCGGCCAGACAAAGGACTACATTAGCTCCCTATTGGAACAGGTAAAACTTGTACCTAGAGATCACTCGACCTGTTTCCTTCAACTGTTTTTTTCTTGTTTGAAGTTTTCCTGTAGAGAAAAGCCAGGTCAGATATTAGTACTACAAAACCAAAAGAACAATATTTATCCTCTGTTCACCATCTTGAAATTAGTCAAGTTTTCAATACTTTGTGAAATGGTGCAGCCTGCAAAATGATTTTTTACCATACCTTTGTTTTAATTATTCAAGTACTCATCTTGAAGTTAATATTTTTTATCAGACTATGTGAAAGAGTAAGAAAAATACAGAAATCTTGTAAAGATGATATGTACGAAGTAGCTTACCCGGCTTTTGGCTCACTGTTCCTTTGTTGTTTGCAGTTTCCTTTTCTCACGTTATTCCACTACTTATTCCCTCTCCTTTAGTACATGAAAGCACGTGTGCACTTTTTCGTCTCTATTTGTCATGTTTTAGTCACTCCGTGGTGAAATGTCTTTTCTAGAGGGTACATATGTACTTTATAGATAATGAAAATCCTGGCTTGGTTCCCAATTATTAAGATATCACAAATTGCTAACAAGGAGATATTGACATTCATTGTACTGAGAATTGCCGATGCATCATGACTGGAACTGGCATGTGTTGGAAACAAGGTGGATGTATCTTTTCCATGTGTCATATTTATGCAGTGGACAAAGTTAAAGTAGATAAGGCGATACATCCGATTGATATCAGTTCAGCTGTAGCTCTATTACATTATAGCAGACTCATAAATTGTATTTGGATGGAAAATAATATGTACTTTTAATTGATTAATACGACGGTGTAGCTAATCAAAATCCGTGTTACTTCCACCTTTATTCAAATACTGAGCATAACTTATTGTCAATCTAATTTCACTTAGCTTTTGAATTGCATCGACTACACTTATAACCATTATGTAGATATGTATATTTTCTTAAAACAAAATCATCGATCACAAAAAACCCAGATTTTGTTATAGAACAATAAAACTACAATGAATTTCCAATGTTTAACTTAATGGTTAGTTAATCATAACACAATTGCCCCCTATTTAGGTCACATTCAACGATATCACATTTTTATTTACTATACTTATGTAATGTACTCTCCATCATTTATGACATGACATGAAACTAAAAAGCACACATGAAACAGAGCTAAGATCATCCCCAGTAATTACAATATCCAACAACACTTCCCGGTTAAAAAGAATCTAGAATCCGTGGCAGTTTTGTACAATATGTTTGAAACGCGCGATTCGATGTCGGCTTTCAAGATGTTCACTAGAATAAAACAGTCTTCATTTTCTCCTGGGTTTCATATCCTCCTTGGAATGTCTGGTAAAACTGAAGAACAAGTAAATTGTTCATAGATTAAAACTCGTCACTATCGATGTTATCTAAAACTATATACATACATGTGCGGAAATTTCTGCAAAACTTCTTTTTCAGTATCAATTTCACTTGTGATTTAGAGTCAATAATGCAAGAGAAAGGTTCGCATTTAAAGTAGTGTACTTTTCCATTTGGATGGAAATGATATCAATTTACTTACTTTTCACTTTAATGTCTCAAAGATCAATTAATTAAAAACCAATTAATAAAGAAATAAACCATCAGACACTATTTGTAACCAATAAAATTAACAGTGTTGAAATTATAGTAAATAAGAAACTGTATTGATACTTAAATCTTTTTCATCTTCACAGCGTCGTAGGCTTATGAAAAATCCGGACAAAGAGGCCGTAACTGAGAAAAAGGAAGTGATGTCAATAAAAGGGCCGATAACTCTCACATCATTGATGGCTCAGAACAAGAAAAGTCCAGACGGGAAAGACTATGTATATCTGAATGTCGGCTCTTTACATAGTAAAGACATTTTCGTAAGGAATTTCTACTCAAATGTATATAAACACTGATTACCAGCTTATATTTTCTATCCGAGATGTTATTTGAAACCATAGGTTGGAAATCATCGAATATGTATTTCCTCGCAAAGGTTTAGTTACACCAAAAATTACAGAAAACATGCCCATTGCAGTAATTTGCCTGCTCCTTTAATTAAGCGCAATTCAAAAACGGTTGCGTTAATCACCAAAATTTTCTAGTTGATTTTTGTGAAATCGTCTTCACGGTACTGACTTAGATTCCGCAGTGTAGTATTTACTAGAACCGAAAAAGACATCACTTTGTGTGCTTGCTCGAAAAGTTATTTTTCAACTTTCAGACGTTCCTAATTACGAAATTCTAGTTAAAGTCGATCTGACTACAGATACTAAATTGATGTTATAACCTTTGTTATATAGCAGAATCGAGCGCATAATGACTGTAACTTTTTTTTTACACACGAGCATATTAGTTTAAAGATATATATATATATACGTATGAGTGTATGTTGAGTTCCTGTTTGAAAACTATTGACAAAGTTTTGATTTTTGAGTTTTAAGTTTCTAAATTTTCTAAATCATACCATCACAGATGTTCCTTGTTTCAATTTAGATTTTCTACCAAAATTTACTTTGGTTAAATGTGTGGTCTTTTTTCTGTAATGTTTTAATTCTGTGAGATCTGTCGCATTATATAGTTTTACTGTCGTACCATTTCCTGGCTTGTAGATACGGAGATTGAATGTAAAAAAAAAAGCTGAATTGGTCATTTGCGTAACTTCTAGAATATCAAGTGTTATTATCACTTTCATCTGTAAAAATGAATTATATGTACCTGTATATTTTACTTGCAGTAAAATGAGAGTAATACTGACATCAGGTTATAAATCTAAATGAAGAAATATCTATTTCATTTGACAGGACTTGTTCTGTATCATGTATCCGTCACGGCGTCCTGTTAACAGCACTATGATTTTAGTTAGTTTGGGAACCAGGATGTTGAGAATAAAGCGGAAGAACTTCTTCAACACTACCAGTCACGAAGCTCTTCTGCATTCTAAACGACTTGCAAAAAAAGAAAGGTACCCCATTCTCCATCTGTTTCAATATGCATCGGCCTACACATCCATGTTTGTTGCTACATTGCCTGGGTTTATAGAAACCTATTGCGGGTCTCTCTTTTTTTGTTTCACTTAAAAAATAGGTCATATGGACTTTTAGATGAACTAATTTATATGACGTCTACATTTTAAGATGGCAGAAATACAGTGATATTAAGAAAACTAAGGTTTAAACAAACTATCAAAACGTTTAATTAAACTTTTTAGAGATAATTTAATTGTTAACAACAACAAACTAGAACTATCAACTGACTACAATGCTCTACTCCACTCTCATATCTATGCTAATCAACCAATTCCTTTTCCACTCCAAAAATCAAAACACATAATTACCCATCACGGAACCGTTGTATTTGTTATCCCTCGAAAACCTTTACACACTGATTTTCCGCGTTTCCCTTTCATAATGGTTTGGGAGGTTGTGCCAAGGTTATGATCAGTTACAACTTATGAAAAAATTTGAATACTTTATAGTACTTTAAATACTAATATTTTACTGCAAATTTAGAACGAGATACATTACAGTCAAATGATGAATTAAATTGATCCTATGGGCCTAAATTTTGTACATCGTTTTATGTTTCCATTTTTACTCAAAAATTTATTTTGTTCTCAAGTTGTCATGTATGTCACTTCGTGAATTGATAATTAATCATTTGGTCATTCCACTCAAAAGAAATCTAACTCTGAAGTATAATAACAAAAACATTCTTAAATGTCAGAATTGCATTAAACCAGTTATTACCGAAACTGTACATCATGATTTTATTTATATACATGTATATATTATTTAATGATAGAAAAATTGTTCTATGTATCACAACAATCAAGCATCTTCTCTGATGTCTTATTCTGAATGTAATCACAGCAAAATTCTGTACTTGATGAATATTCAACGACAAAATGCATCAAAACAATAGCAGCGATGTTCAATTTATTGTGATTGAGACAATTTCGAACTTATCACTAAGGCATGTCAACATAGAGCACCTATCCCACCCTACTTGTTTGTTAAGATTAACGATCTCCACATTATCATATATTTTCTTCACATGTAACAGAGTTTGTCAGGAAAAGTATCTATAAATTGATATTTAGACCGATGACCGCTCACTAACGAAGAATTAAAGAAAACAGCGGTATATTGACGGTGTCAAAGTCTGTTTAACTTCAGTAAACTGAGATTTAAAAGGAGGGAAATAATTACTATTTCATTTTCACATCTTTCTAAAAACCTATCGTTTTCCTGATGTCCCCAATGACGTTACCTCATCTTAGTTAAGCGTTCGCCTATGTAAAAGAATCTCTTCTCTTTTAACTGGCTGAAGAAGTCTTCAAAACTGAGCTTCATCTCTTTTCTTAACACTTACCATTGCGGTCCGTCCGTTGTTTATGTAATTTGACATGGTGTGGATTGTCTTGAGGCCTTCGGTAGTATTCACTCTTATGTCAGTTCCGTTAACAAGGCTTCATTTCCTTCAATATTGTCATGCATATAGAACGTTCTTAGTTGCCCCGTTGAATAATAGGTATGTAGAATGTTTGGTAAATTAAGATTAAACCAAACTAATATATGCAACATTGTTTTAGAACCATTCGAGTTATTATCTTTATCTAAATTAAACGCAGATATATTTACCATTTAATAAAACAGTCCTTTCTGTACCTGTCGTCATCCGGGTGAAGAATGTCCTCACTTCTTTCTCCATTGTCCTCTTTTCATTAATCAAAGACAAATCTTTTTTTACATTTCTGGCCTGAGTGATTATATTCCTCTAAACATTCTAACATTTCCTAGTGGTTGCCATGGTTTAATAAAGAGATTTGTTGCCGATAACAGGCGTCTTTTTGTTAGTAAATGCCCCGTTATACATTGTTGTTTTTGTCGATGCGAATGGATGAACAATCAAACTGCGCTACATTCTATTCAAGATGAATGTCGGATTGATTCTTGTCATAATGATCAAGTGATCCAATTACCACTTTAACTAGTAGTATTTATCTATCTATTTTATCTCAAATAATTATGTATTATGCTTATTCCCTTCACCTTATTCATTCGTTATCTGACTGATCTTTATATTTGTTTATACCTGTAAGGATTGGGCTTTCAGGGACTTTGCTTGTTGCTCAATTCCTTACTGTCTATAAAATAATGACAATAAATTCTTCTGAAATGAAATTGTGTTGACCTGCGCGTATATTTCATGTTTTCCCATTGTGTTGTACAGGTATCCTAGCGAGGAGATGCTCCTGAGGTCGTACCGTGAAAAGTCGGATTGGGATGATTACAAAGCTGGTGTAGTGGCCGAAATCGTGGCACCACACCTGAAGAAAAATGGTAGATTCTCAAATATTTCTAAAGATCAAATCAATATCATGAAAGAAAGGAATGAACAGAAAGAAATTCTTCTATCGACCCTACAAAAGAATGTTGCCATTTCTAAGGCAATGAAGACTGAGGATGATGATACAGATGATGACAGCGATGATGAAAAATATTATTATGGTGATGATGTTCCGAAACCGGTGTTTGTATTGCCCCACCAATTAACTATGCACGTGACCTCAGAACCAATTCATTCAGATCTTACTGTGGGTAGGAGAACTTCCATTTTTACAAAACCAAGCTTCGTTCGTGATTCTCCGGAAAGCGACACAGGACCATAAGTAGATCAAAAGACAATAAACTTAATTCTGGAATTCAGCAGAAATAGATATATCCCGATCAACAAATGCTTTAACCAAACGCAAGTTAGGACAATAAATGCTTTAGCGAAAAGCAAGTTAGGAAAGGGATTGGTTTTCTAGTTATGCACATCAATTACAAAGACGTGAAAACAATGACTTGATCCGTAGGTGTTTAATTAGTATATGTTAATTGGTTCTCTGGTCAAAAGTGTGATATTGTACACATAATGTATACTGAATGTGCACAGAATAAAATCAAAGAATATTTCTTATGGTAGTCATAATATCAAGTTTAGCAGACCTGTTAACACCCACTAAGAGATTTCATTAAATATATTTTATCTACTCATTAACACTTAAACTAACAATTCCAATTAGGCCATAATAATAATAATGTGAACGAAAATATATCATCGTTATAGAAAGCAACAAGGTTGAAAAAAAGAAACTTTCAAATTGTATTTCTATGTTATCATAACGATATAAAGCATTAACAAGTCTATTTTAGCTTGCATACAATATTTACATTGACGATATAATGGTGATATATTTCTGTCATCAAGTTTCTTATTACTAAAATATGACTTTTTGAGGAAATGTTTGTTATAAATTGTATGATTTTACAAAGCTAACGCGATTTTTGTGCTAAATTTATTTGTGTCTACTTGTCTGAGTTAACATCACCAGTCAAGTTAAATTATCAAGGCTCTTAACCAAATAATTTTAATTTATTTGTCTTCACAAATTTTACAAAATAAGACGAGTCTTCGCCATAAGCATCTTTCTTGTTAGGGTAGTGTCACCTAACATAACAAGATGAACGTGTCACCATACGATATTTATCCAGTCCCTTATCATGCCATATCAGAGACAGTCCACGATCATCTATAATGTCAATCCACGATACTTGAGCAATCAATATTCATCTGTAACATCAATGAAGACAATGGACATAAAAAGAATAATAAATATTGTATTTACGAGACAGTAACAAAAACGTAAGTAGACAAATTAACTCTGTAGCGATATGGTTAACACTTTTTAATGTATTTGATGACGTCTACAATGAACAATGTAACATAAAACAAAATGAAACCGTTCGGTATGGATATAATAGTTAGAGTTGGATGTGGCAGATAGTAATTTTCTGACATTAATTACATGCTTACGAAGATAGAACACTATTTATCACGAAGAGTGCATTCATTTAGGGTCTCTTTCATCCCTGTATCAAACTTTTCATTTTCGCCCAGCGTCATAAACAAAAGTAACTTCAACATCAAAATATAGTCCACCACCTGTTTCCACACTATGACAAAAGGTAAGACATGGAGAACGTTAACCTGTATACAGTCCTGCAAAAGCATTACCTGTATACAGGTTACAAATATTTACCTGTATACAGTGATGCAATAATTTACCTGTATACAGTGCTGCAAAATATTACCTGTATACAGTGATGCAAATATTTACCTGTATACAGGTTACAAATATTTACCTGTATACAGGGCTACAAAAGTTTACCTGTATACAGGCTTCAAATATTTACCTGTATACAGGGCTACAAAAGTTTACCTGTACACAGTACTACAAAAGTTTTAGCTGTATACAGTACTACAAAAGTTTACCTGTATACAGGGCTACAAAAGTTTACCTGTATACAGTACTACAAAAGTTTACCTGTATACAGGGCTACAAAAGTTTACCTGTATACAGGACTACAAAAGTTTTAGCTGTTTACAATACTACAAAAGTTTACCTGTATACAGGGCTACAAAAGTTTACCTGTATACAGGGCTACAAAAGTTTACCTGTATACAGTACTACAAAAGTTTACCTGTATACAGGGCTACAAAAGTTTACCTGTACACAGGACTACAAAAGTTTTAGCTGTATACAGTACTACAAAAGTTTACCTGTATACAGGGCTACAAAAGTTTACCTGTATACAGGACTACAAAAGTTTTAGCTGTATACAGTACTACAAAAGTTTACCTGTATACAGGGCTACAAAAGTTTACCTGTACACAGGACTACAAAAGTTTTAGCTGTATACAGTACTACAAAAGTTTACCTGTATACAGGGCTACAAAAGTTTACCTGTACACAGGACTACAAAAGTTTTAGCTGTATACAGTACTACAAAAGTTTACCTGTATACAGGGCTACAAAAGTTTACCTGTATACAGGGCTACAAAAGTTTACCTGTATACAGGACTACAAAAGTTTTAGCTGTTTACAATACTACAAAAGTTTACCTGTATACAGGGCTACAAAAGTTTACCTGTATACAGGACTACAAAAGTTTTAGCTGCTTACAATACTACAAAAGTTTACCTGTATACAGTACTACAAAAGTTTACCTGTATACAGGACTACAAAAGTTTTAGCTGTTTACAATACTACAAAAGTTTACCTGTATACAGTACTACAAAAGTTTACCTGTATACAGGGCTACAAAAGTTTACCTGTACACAGGACTACAAAAGTTTTAGCTGTATACAGTACTACAAAAGTTTACCTGTATACAGGGCTACAAAAGTTTACCTGTATACAGGACTACAAAAGTTTTAGCTGTATACAGTACTACAAAAGTTTACCTGTATACAGGGCTACAAAAGTTTACCTGTATACAGGACTACAAAAGTTTTAGCTGTATACAGTACTACAAAAGTTTACCTGTATACAGGGCTACAAAAGTTTACCTGTATACAGGACTACAAAAGTTTTAGCTGTATACAGTACTACAAAAGTTTACCTGTATACAGGGCTACAAAAGTTTACCTGTATACAGGGCTACAAAAGTTTACCTGTATACAGGACTACAAAAGTTTTAGCTGTTTACAATACTACAAAAGTTTACCTGTATACAGTACTACAAAAGTTTACCTGTATACAGGGCTACAAAAGTTTACCTGTATACAGGACTACAAAAGTTTTAGCTGTTTACAATACTACAAAAGTTTACCTGTATACAGGGCTACAAAAGTTTACCTGTATACAGGGCTACAAAAGTTTACCTGTATACAGGGCTACAAAAGTTTACCTGTACACAGGACTACAAAAGTTTTAGCTGTATACAGTACTACAAAAGTTTACCTGTATACAGGGCTACAAAAGTTTACCTGTATACAGGACTACAAAAGTTTTAGCTGTTTACAATACTACAAAAGTTTACCTGTATACAGGGCTACAAAAGTTTACCTGTATACAGGACTACAAAAGTTTTAGCTGTTTACAATACTACAAAAGTTTACCTGTATACAGTACTACAAAAGTTTACCTGTATACAGTGCTGCATTTATTACAGTTAAAAATGAAATGATAATATAACCCATACTGGCACAAAATAAAAACATTTCGTCCATTACCATATCAGTATTAATGCTGGAAAAAGGATCTGACTCGATACATCGATAGTCTCATATTGATCAAAAACGGCCAAAACATCGTTTTATTTTCGCAGAACGTCATGTGCCACACAGGACCGAAAGACGATTTACAGGATCGGACAAAATCGGGCAGAATCGGGTGGTTTATATGTAAAATTGCATAAAATTGCTTAATTATCTTCTCATGGCCCCGGCAGAATGTTTCATTGCAATGTTTTATCGTGATTCATTTTGAATGGAGACTACACGTATCTTAACATGGCCATATCACAAGGTTCGTCCTCTCGCTTTGCAGAAAGACGCAAAACATTAGTATCTCCAACACTTAAGGTCATATATATAACATGTTAATATGTCACTCACTTTCAGTTAGTCGATCATTGACATTACTTACTTGCAATCAATACAAAAGACAAGTAAAACACAATTTAGAGTTCGATTAAGTAGTATTACTATTTCATTCTGACTAAAGACAGCCTCAACAACGAATAAACACTTTTTAATGCTTCTGAAGGGATAGCATATAATCACCGCTTTGCCCGTCCGTCGAGCCGTCCGTCATAATTTTGTCCGAAGTAAACACCAAACCTATAAAAGGTAAGAACGTAAAATGTCATAGGCAAAAAGAGATCTCAGTAAGGAGAAGTGCAGTGCACAGAAACCACCACTCTCTTTTGCGTAAGTTAGGAGTTATTGCCCTTTGTTATTTTCCGTACATAACTTTTGTTCGGAACATTACACTACAATTAAAAGAGCCATAAACATAAAATTTAATAAGTAGATAGATCTCAACAAGCAAAAGAGCAATGCACAAGAATCATCACTACTTTTTGCATGATACAGGAGTTATTGCCCTTTGTTATTTTTCATTCTTAAATCTTGTCTGGATCATTACAATAAAACTAAAAGAGGCATCAATATGAAACTTCACAGGTAGAAAGATCTAACAAAAAACAGTGCAGTGCACAAGGATTATAACTCTCTTATTTCCCTTTGTTATTTTTATACTTAAATTCTGTCCCATTCGGGAAGCATAACGCGTCTCTGACGGCCCTTGTTTAAAACTTGTGTTCCGGCCAGAGCAAAACCTACAAACCCATAAAATTCTTTCCTTATGAATATTACTTGAGTACTTGATATTTTGAAACATTTTCATATATTCCTCGTGATTGGATTAAAAAAGAAATAAAATTATATCGAAGACAACGTGGACAGTATCGACCTTAGCAGACATATATTATAACCTACTCAACACAGATTGCACCACACTCCTCTCTTCCAGCAGAAATGGCTACCGCAACTTATCTGAAAATCATGCTCATATATTATCTCAGGATTATTTGTACAGTTGAGATTTTAAACCTTCTTTTAGTTATTCACGCTCGTTATCTGTGATTTTCATTACAAAATATCAACACTCTTCAACCTAATCGGCCATGATATCGTTCTGTGAAGTGTATGTCGTGTGATGTTGACAGATATACCCTGCCTTTTAATAAAACATGGCCTTATGCCAAACTTCAAAGATCTTTCACTAAGACTCAGATTAATACAATTTTCGAATCCTGCTTTTGATAATCAACTTTTTAAAAAAAAAATGTCCCCGTTGATATTCTCTTTACCTGATTTTAGAACTTGTATGATGCAATTTCATTATTTGATTCTACCGTATCTAATTAATTCTAGATCCGTATTGAAATATGTTATTTTACCGAACTCGGAGGTGTTAGACACTGCTGCTGTAGTTCCAGTCCCTGAGGTTCGCCATAACCTGTACGCCACGATCAAATTCCTTCAGATAGTGACACGATAATATGTACCTGATGGTCTTCTGAAATTATATGAAAAATAGGCATTTGGCATTAACGACAAGTCCTAGAAGGACGATAAACCTGTATGATGTAAATTAATCATTTGCTTCCTAAATAAAAAGTGCTATTCATTGTGTGTCTTTTGAGTATCTTCCATTTCTGCAATGTGTATGACTTATCACCATTATTGATGTTATTTTGCCTCTATTGTCTTCATGTCCTTGTGGTATTGTATCTTATACGATATATATTAATTATTCATGTTGTCACGTTCCTTTTATTGCTGTCCAATAAATACAATCCCCACACAAAGAATACTTTAAACATTTAGCATGACTCTGAAGATCTTGCGTATATGAACCAGTCATATGGTTAATAACTTCACCTAGTCGTCCGGGGTTCGATTCTCAGGACGGATGTGAAAAGGTAACGTGCCACCTGCCCGACCAAGTGGGTTTTCCCCGGGTACACCGGTTTCCTCTCACAATAAGACCCCTCGCGCGCTTACATCCGGGCCAACAAGAGTGTTTGGTATAGGTTGAAATAACTTCTTTCACAACTGTTGTAAAATAAAGATTTGAACATTTAAAATGAAATAAAATAAAAGAAGATATTTAAATTACATTTGAAATTATTGAATGCGTCATTCGAATTCCGGTTCCGGTTGGTAATAACTACAGAAAAATATACTAAGATATTTATAAATATGACGATCTTTCCCAGAGTTATAAATAGAACTGATTGCATGTTTGTTTATTTTTTTACCACCGTTCAGTTTCTCAAAATATATATTTATCATTCAAAGTATATAGATGGTTGGATCAGTCTACAATATCATAAATTATAATGTTACATTCTTTGGGTGTTATAATTAGTACAAATACAGTCAAATGGTAGCATAATTATTTTTGTTGATCAGATCCGTCTACTCAACTGAACTTCGCTGTAACTAGTCAAAGCCCTTGTGTCTCATCTTCATCAGTAAGTCTGGTCCCTTCTGCCAAAGCTGTTAAATTTCACCATTATGTTTTTGTTATATTCTTACTTTATGTTTTAGTAGAGTGAGTCTGAGTAGAGTGTCGTCTGCTGGAATGGTTTTGTATGTGAGCGAATTTGTATGTATGATCCCTTCGTAAATAGTTATTAAATTTTGTGTTGCATACAGTCTCAGTCGGCACGGTGGAAACGGAAATTCTAAGAATGCAAGGAAACAAAAGGAGAACGCCACTTTAGCACGGGATGTGATGAACATTTGAACAGCTGAGGGAATTGAATAGCGTACAGTGTATCACTGTGCTGAGTGTACTGTATGCAACTAGTCACATACATGTATATAGATCTAGTGGATGTTAGTGTGTGTATGTGTGTATGCAAATCATTTCAACTATTTTATTATCATTATTATTATTCAAAGAGATGAAGCAAGGGATATTTGTCTAGCAAATTCCATGGATGAAGTCTGAATGGTTTAAAGAAGAAGTTGTATTGAAATTAACATGATTTTATACTGTATCTTAAGATCTGTAACACTTGTTAAAAGACGATGTGTGATGTGTCCATACAACCAACTCTGATTTATATAGACCTACCTGAACATAGTCTGGAACAATTTCGTTCTTCTTTTGGTACCCCTTCACAACCTTGTGATTGCACCACGCCTTTAGAATTTGTACATGAACGGTTCCGGATTTGAACTCCAATGGAAGTCGAGCACTCACTCCATGGACTCCACACGTTCCAAGATACCATCTCTGTATAGTGATGGTAGAATGAAAATCATGGTTAGAATTTTAAAATTTTGTTCACGAAAATTCAAAAGCACCCGCACGTATGAAAACAATAAAAAAAAAATACCTTGTTGGGGTTTGTGATCCTGACAATCTTGATTGCAGAAGTCTTCGGAGCAACACTTGTGGCAGAGATTGAACGACCTTGTCAAATTATGGGTATCCCGGCCCACTAGGAGTCCTTCATGCAAACACTCCTGTCAAAGTCGAGTTTCTAAGTAAAATGACCATGTACTATTTACCCATCGTATCACCCCCTCCCCTATCTCTCTCTCTCTCTCTCTCTCTCTCTCTCTCTCTCTCTCTCTCTCTCTCTCTCTCTCTCTCTCTCTCTCTCTCTCTCTCTCTCTCTCTCTCTCTCTCTCTCTCTCTCAATATAAATTATCATGTTATCTTCTAATTTTATCTGCCATCTTATGATGTCGTGTACATATGTATGTGTTGAATAATAAGGATCGGGCGATTATAAGTTCTTGGAACTTGTGCCCAATCCTCTTGCAATATTTTGGCAATAAAATATGTTTAAACTAAACTAACTTCGCTGTATGTCGGTTTTCATTTTTAGTATTCTTCTATCGTTCTTAGTGTGTATTGGATGTGTAAAACAAATATTCCTCCTTTACGAAACACAAGTTTCTGTTGAGTAATCATTGTGGAAGTGATATAAGCTTCTAGTCTAGTACAAATCCTTTTTCGTATTTGTGATCGGTACTTTTAATGAGTACGTGTAGATAATAAATGTATGGTTTAAACGAAATTCTCTTTTATAGAAATTAGATATGCACATACCTGAACGGACCTGTATCCCAACATCCCTGCTTATTACACGTCTCTGTCACAGCAATTACTCGACACACGCCATATGTCTGTGCGATGACAGTTCTTCAAACGAACCGTAAAACGACAATTATTCATGTAACGTATCAAAACACGATCACCAATTATCAATGTTGAAAACAGAACAGTTCTGTAGCAAACATTTAAGAAAGAATAAATTGAAACTTACTTCAAGAGAGTAGAGTGAAGTTCTGTATCAAACAACCAATGAAAGAACAAAACGAAACTCATTTGGAGGTCAGCTCTGTAGTTATGAAAGAGCAATATTGAATTATTTTCCAGATTAAAGGTTTGTAGTAAAGTCTATGACCGTAAATATGGTTCAATGTCTTTTTGTTACAAACTTTGCCAGGCTTCATCCCAGAGACCTACCTGACGAATATTATTCTTCTAAGCCTTTTGGTAAATCAGAAGACATTGTTTAAAGGTTTTGACAAACTTGACCATTATGACTTTAAATATGATTCAAGGTCAGTAAATGAACTCTTTATCTATGTGCGCTCTGGACTGATAATTTTAAAAACTAGTCTTATCTTCCCAGATTAGCTACCATACCATAGACCGTTTGTTCGAGAAGGTCACAAGACGCTCTGAATAGTAAGTGTTAAATAACATTCGTTTCTTCAAGTTTTAAATCGGCGCGTACATATTAATCCGCGCAGAGAAAAATCATATCATATCATTAACTGGGAAAATTTCAAAATATTCGACAGGGAAAACTGCAGCGGGCCTGTACTAAACAGGAACGAGGGGGGCCACAGACCGGCGCACGTCTATGACAAAGTGTAGCCGAATCGACTACAGTACATTGTTACCATTTTGTGTACCTTTTTCTATAATCTTTTTACCATCTCGTCACTCTATTTTCGAACTAAGTGTACATAGAATTATAGTAGAGACGAAGAAGTTGGTCGATTCTTTACCATTTCGTCACGCTATTTTCTAACTAAGTGTACATAGAAATAAAGTAGGGACGAAGAAGTTGGTCGATTCCTTACCATCTCGTACGTCAGTGCTACTCGCTCCACACTGGTCATTTGTCTGATGATGGTGACTTCTACTGGTTGTGAAATAATAACTCGTAGTCTACTTTTAAGTTATTTTCATTTTCCCGTCGTGAAAATGACTGTTCTATTTGACGGATGACATAGTCGTTAACGAATCACTTATTTGCTTGGTTGCATCAGATACCAACATATGTCTGCTTTCTGCATACATCCTACGAAAGAAACACTCCATCCTACATGTATATGAAATTCTATTTGGCCTAATCCGATAGGGTGAGTTTTGATAGTAAGCTTGCTGGTATGTAATTTTGTTACATCACGGAATAAATTTACATAAATTATGTATAATACGAAATAATTTTGAAGTTTAATATATTTTTTTAATCTACCAGTGACTTCCATTCCCCTGCTAGTCGGATTGCTGTTCTGTCACGTTTACTCGGGTATGTATCCATTGTTAAACTATACCAAGGAGAAATTCCTTGACAAGATTGAATAGCTACTATTTTACCATTAGGCTTATAAAATTACAGATGTATTCATATATGGTGTTTACTTGTGATCAGTGAATGACACGCTCCCTCTAAATATTTCATCCACCTCTAACTTCAACGGCCATTGCAGTTTAAGATTTCCCTAGCGTCATCTTATGGTTTGGCGATTGAAAACTATTACTTTAAATGACATTACACATGTAAACTTACTTTGTTTAAATATTCAGTTGCTTGGTTTTTTTTTTTTTTTTTTGTTTTGTTTTGTTGTTTTTTTTTTTTTTTTTGTATAATGCATTTTTGTTAGTGATATTTAAAATTTAAACAGCACCAGTTGCATATTTTATGTCCGTTAAAGTTACTGTTCCACTTAATTTAGATAAAGAAGATAATGACATCATTATTCGGCTTAAATATATTCTGCATTGAGAGTTTTTATTTAAAAGCTGTTAATTACATATAATATAACGCGATAACGTTTATTTGTTAACCTTTACTCATGGTGTATGACTATGAAACATGCCTTGATTTATTAAGTGATATTTCATGAAGATTTTTCACATGTAAACTGTGATGCCTAAATTCAGTGACGTATACGTCCCCGCAAAATATTCTTTTCTGTTACTATAAAGTGCTGACAGCCGGTCCACAGTGTTTCGCCTGCTCATCAATTCCTCGACTGGAATTCTGTGATTACTTCACCCAATGCGAGGAAGGGGAGGTAACTATGGAATTCACACAAATTTATACAGTATGAACAAAGGACAAATTGATTGTTACTACATTTATACAGTATGAACAAAGGACAAATTGATTGTTACTACATTTATACAGTATGAACAATGGACAAATTGGTTGTTACTACATTTATGCAGTATGAACAAAGGACAAATAGATTGTTACTACATTTATACAGTATGAACAATGGACAAATTGGTTGTTACTACATTTATACAGTATGAACAAAGGACAAATTGATTGTTACTACATTTATACAGTATCAACAAAGGACAAATTGATTGTTACTACATTTATACAGTATGAACAAAGGACAAATAGATTGTTACTACATTTATACAGTATGAACAATGGACAAATTGGTTGTTACTACATTTATACAGTATGAACAATGGACAAATTGATTGTTACTACATTTATACAGTATGAGCAATGGACAAATTGGTTGTTACTACATTTATACAGTATGAACAATGGACAAATTGATTGTTACTACATTTGTACAGTATGAACAATGGACAAATTGGTTGTTACTACATTTATACAGTATGAACAATGGACAAATTGGTTGTTACTACATTTATACAGTATGAACAAAGGACAAATTGATTGTTACTACATTTGTACAGTATTAACAATGGACAAATTGATTGTTACTACATGTATACAGTATGAACAATGGACAAATTGGTTGTTACTACATTTATACAGTATGAACAAAGGACAAATTGATTGTTACTTCATTTATACAGTATGAACAATGGACAAATTGATTGTTACTACATTTATACAGTATGAACAAAGGACAAATTGATTGTTACTACATTTGTACAGTATGAACAAAGGACAAATTGATTGTTACTACATTTATACAGTATGAACAAAGGACAAATTGATTGTTACTACATTTGTACGGTATGAACAAAGGACAAATTTGTTCCGTTACCCCGGTTGATATTTAGTATTTGTCTTGAATTTTACCTCAGACGCATGAAATCTGCATGCAATTAACATTCAGAAATACAAACAGTACGTTGATATTCATAAATTTCATGTTCAGTTTTCAAATACTTTGCATGTGATTCAGAAATGTTACGTTCAGAAGATACGGACACACAATGGCCATGACAAGTACACTTCCGGGTGTGTAAATAACCAGGTAGGTCACATCATGTAAATGGTCATATATCTCCTATCATTATCTAGTTTCTAATTTCAAATTATCCTTTCCATCAGTGATTCGTATAGAGCTGGAGAGTTATCATATTTTTCTTTCATAAATGATTACTCCATCTCTGTTCCTGTTTAATCAACTTCATTTCATATTTTCATATTTAACGAAAATTGCGTTTTGTAACTAAGTTCCATGAACAATAACCATTCTTGTTATTCTGCAGAGCTGTTCTTTAGATACCAATTTCCACGGTTCGTTTGGAGAACTATCACCTTACGGACAGGTGACGTGTGTCGAGTGTTGTGATGGAGACATGTGTAACAACCAAGGGTGTGGGGATACAGGTTCGTGTACCAGTTAAAACAGACAACCCTTTTCACTGTTTTATCTTAATTAAGCAAACCTAAAGACATTTCACGGTATGTGATCTCAAAACCAGCAGTCTATATTCTTTGAATGAAAACATGTTATTTTTTTCAGAAACTGAACCGTGACATGGAATCAGTTCTATTTGTAACTTCGGCAGAGTTTATAAAACTTAAAGACCTTTGTTGAACTGTTCACTTTTTTCGGCTGCTTTAATTACAAATCATAATTGTGTTTGTGGGAATATTTTACACATTTTCTATACAGGAGTTATTTCTTTATCGTATGTTTATTGGTAACTACTTGTGCTCCCTAAGGACCTCCAACTAGAGAATCCCGTGGACCTTACTGTTACCAGTGCCAGCACATGCCAGACCCGAGTTACTGTGAAAGGCTCACTATTTGTGACAGCAATGAAGTATGAAGTCAAACATTGCATACATTAAAAAGTATGGTATATATATATATAGATAAGTAATTTAATTAATGTGTGATTTTATCACCAGTATTTTAGTCCATTATCATTTCTGGAGTGTTTGAATTAAATATATATATATATATATATATATATATATATATATAGACCATAAGCTCACTCGTCTAGCTAAACCAATTTTTACGAGGGAGGGGGATAACCAGAACTGTCATCTCTCGCTTTTACTTTTTCGTTTGCATCTCTTTTACGATTGCTGCAAAAATCAAATGTTGGTAAGTAATCTTTTGTGATAAACATTAATCATCGTAAGGCATTCAAATTTATCAATTAAATTCATTCTCCTCGTGTCTGAAACGTTTAAAATGTTTGAAAAATGTTAAGTATTGAATTATTGATGAAAGGTAAAATGACTATGATATGATTTTCGTGTAGGTTTGCAGTATTGACGAAACCGTGTCTTTTGGACATCAGTTCTCAAGCGGGTGCAGGCGAAAAGGGGTCTGTATTCTTCCATCCATTCACTTATTTACTTAACATAAAAAAAGAGATCGTTTTGAGAGAGAGAGAGAGAGAGAGAGAGAGAGAGAGAGAGAGAGAGAGAGAGAGAGAGAGAGAGAGAGAGAGAGAGAGAGAGAGAGAGAGAGAGAGAGAGAGAGGAGAGAGGGAGAGAGGGAGAGATAGGGGAGGGGGTGATACGATGGGTAAATAGTACATGGTCATTTTACTTAGAAACTCGACTTTGACAGGAGTGTTTGCATGAAGGACTCCTAGTGGGCCGGGATACCCATAATTTGACAAGGTCGTTCAATCTCTGCCACAAGTGTTGCTCCGAAGACTTCTGCAATCAAGATTGTCAGGATCACAAACCCCAACAAGGTATTTATTTTATTGTTTTCATACGTGCGGGTGCTTTTGAATTTTCGTGAACAAAATTTTAAAATTCTAACCATGATTTACATTCTACCATCACTATACAGAGATGGTATCTTGGAACGTGTGGAGTCCATGGAGTGAGTGCTCGACTTCCATTGGAGTTCAAATCCGGAACCGTTCATGTACAAATTCTAAAGGCGTGGTGCAATCACAAGGTTGTGAAGGGGTACCAAAAGAAGAACGAAATTGTTCCAGACTATGTTCAGGTAGGTCTATATAAATCAGAGTTGGTTGTATGGACGAATCGTCGTCATCGTCTTTTAACAAGTGTTACAGATCTTAAGATACAGTATAAAATCATGTTAATTTCAATACAACTTCTTCTTTAAACCATTCAGACTTCATCCATGGAATTTGCTAGACAAATATCCCTCTTCATGCATTTCGGTTGATCAGTAGAAGTCGTATGAGTATTTAGACAAATTTGACTGGGGTGATTTTGTGCAATGATCAAAGTCAGACGTTAGAGCATTTTCATAAATTTAACTCATAACCTTGAATATGAATGAAGGTTATTACTTTTCACACTATTTGTGAATTTTCAAATGTTCAAAACCTCAGTTCTTATTAGGAAACTTTTCGCTTTGGCGATGGCATCTTCAAGCAAAATACCTATTTTCAATTCTTTTCGTTTCATCAGCAGAAGTCACTCGAACGACTAACAAAGGATCCCTGTTACCTTAGATACGGATCGATGTAACTTTCTTTCGGTTATCGAGGGTTTTATCCCAAGAACCTTACAGCACAAAAGCAAGATTCCAGGCCAAAAATTGCAAAAATTCTTATCCAAGCAGGGGTTAGAGCATTTCACAAATTTGACAAACAATCTAGAATATACGATGGCCGAAATCGGCCTGACAAAACTGTGTAACTAGTAGCACATTTTCGTCAACAAAATATGTACGAACACATTTTTTGTACAAATATGTTCATTACTATAGTAGTAGATTTATTTGACACAAAAGGTGTTCGTACATATTTTGTTGACGAAAATGTGATACAAGTTACACTGTTTTGTCAGTCCGTTTTCGGCCATCGTAAGAATATGAGTCAAGCTAATTTCTTTTCGAATGAATGTGAATTTTCCTAATAGAAAACTTTCAGTTAATTTATGTCTTTTTGTTTATCAGAAGAGGTCCTTTCAGTATTTAAACACATTTGACCAATGGGACTTGAACTGTAGATAAAGATAATCTATTCTTGTACAATTTTGTTCGGTTCTGTGCCTTAAAATCATCAAAAAGACATCATTTAAGTGTTGTAGCAAATTCACTCATGTAACCTTTCATATGGGTCAAAGTAAATTTTTAAGGAAACATTTTCGAGTCTTATTCCAGAAACACATCAGATAAATATTGTAATTTCGGCTTTTAGAAGAAATCATTTGAAACTTTTAACAAATTTTGGCCTCCTCAAACTTTATCGGACTTCAATTAGGGAACTTCCCAGTTATACATGTCAATATAAACCTTGACACGGCAGGAAAGGTGAACTTTAAAGTAAAAATTATTACTACAGAAATTCTATAAGCACTTTTTCATGCTTGCTGTTTGTCAGATTGCTATACAAGAGTTGAATTGTTTTTTTTTTCCCGACTGAAGGTTGTGTTGAATTGTACAACAGCGGAACACGTGATTCAGGTGTGTACACCATAGCTCCCCCCGGACACCAGCCTCTGAAAGTCGTCTGCAACATGACGGACGGAGGAGGATGGACTGTACTTCAACACAGGTACGACGGCTCTGTCACCTTTAATCGTACATGGACAGACTACGTCACGGGTTTTGGTGATCTACATGGCGACTTCTGGTTTGGTTTAGAAAACATTCACATGCTTACATCACAGGGAGTCCAAGTCATAATAGATATGATAACAATTACCGGGAAGTCGATACGGTACAGCTACGATCACTTTGAGGTAAAGGACGCCAGCACATCGTATCAACTGTCAGTTTCTAATGATACTTCTGTATATGGTAGACGTGAACAAAGATTAGAATATAACAACGGTCATATCTTCTCTACCCCTGATAGACCGGATGAACACAAATGTTCTTCTCACGGTTCGGGCTGGTGGTTTAAATATTGTACATATTTCAATATCAACGGTATCATAGGCCTGGTTGAGAGTGACTATGGACTGGCAATAAGAGACGGTGTTATGGATGTTTTACTGAATGAAACAATCATGAAAGTAAGGTAACTGTTGTTGATTTATTACTAATTTAATGCTGAACAACGGTATATCTGCACACGCCTGTCAATTCCCCCTTGATTATATATAAGATAATCAATAAATATTTTTTTTTATTTTTTTTTATTTTTTAGTTTTTATTATTCATATTTATTTCTGTAGTCATCGTTTCCTTATCATCCCAAAGAGGTCAAACTACAGGTTCTGTAAGACACAGTCACATACCAACGAACATGGACTTATTTGACCGTGACGTTTTGTAGAGTGAAAACAAACCATGTTGTACTAATTAAAATGATTAAAAGATTACAGTCAACATACTAAGTGGTACCATTTTTTTCCTGTGTAGTAACTTTACATAAATGAATATATATGCTTTAAAAAGATCAAAGTTTGGTACTTTTGTTCACATTACTGGAAAAAAATTTCCCGAAAAAGTTATCCATGAATCTTGACTATATAAAATGCGATGGTGGTTTGCAGACTGGCATTCGTCTTTCACGTAAGCGAGATTGTACAAAAGACAAATAAGTGAACAGCACCTTTTAACACAATTTTACAATGAATTAAGCTGCATTATGCAGCTGTTTGAAGCCTATGGGCTACTAAGGCAAATCCAAAGTGGTCAAAAGAAAAGTAAAAATCTAGACGGGGAGTTGTAACATCTCCTTAATCAAATTAATCTCGTAATTTTGATATATAATTTTAGAACAGCGTCAAGTACATGTGTATATTCTGAACCGTGCCACTATTCGACTGCATTAAAACGGGGACTTAAAGTCCACCAGCAGTGTCTACAGACAAAAAAAGCACATGTGAATAGTACCTAATATCCATTTATTAAACATGGCAATTGGGGGATTACAGCTCATAGAATGATATTAAAATGTAATAGAATCACATGAACATTTGTTTTTTTCCTATCATTCATTCATTTTCTTCGTGTAGATAATCTCAATAGAACAGATCAGGTCTGATGAAGGTGACCGTGTAGTCATAGAAACGTCACACTCTAATCTTCTAATGGTTTTGTTATAAGATGAAGGTGACCGTGTAGTCATCGAAACGTCACTCTCTAACCTTCTACTGGTTGTGTTATAAGATGAAGGTGACCGTGAAGTCATCGAAACGTCACACTCTAATCTTCTGCTGGTTGTGTTATAAGATGAAGATGACCGTGTAGTCATCGAAATGTCAAACTTTAAACTTCTACTGGTTGTAATATGAGAAGTTCTATTCTACAAGCCTGTTAAAATCTAAACATTCGGCTTCCCCAAAGGATGTCCCACAAGTAGAGTTTAGTAGTTGAGTGCTTGAGGTGCAGTCATTCATTACAATAAGTACAGAAACGCGAGGTTGTTCATTAACAGGTGGCATGTGTAGGGGTGACCACGAAATTCCATAAAGTGGAGAAAATGAAAGAGACTTTCACTTCTTTGTCATATTGAGTCCTATTGGATATAGCAATTTGCCACAGAGTGTCCAACTTCTCTTCCAAAGAATCCAGTCCATTGGTGGACAGGGGATTCAACACAAGTCTGTGTTGGATACCAGCGTCCATAATCGTGGGATCTGGAAATGAGAAAATGAATCAGCGATTTCTTTTTTAACACCTGGCAAATATTCAATGTAATTAGCAAAGTTATTGTGTGTTGCACACATGAGAAGCGTTTGTGTAAGTTTCATAATGAGATCTTTAAAACGCCTTTTGAAAATAACGTGAACAGTATCCTGATTTTCACAGTAACACTGCATTATCATCCCAAACAACTGAAGCCACAACAATAGGATATAGCTCAAGGATAGACAATGAGAGCCGTAATTACATTTTCTGGAAGATTCGTACATATGGGTGCACAAGTATACAAAAATGCGTGCGACAGCAGCCACGTGCACACCTATCAGAATGAAGTATACACTTACTTATCAGTCGTGTATTTGAATGTCTGCTATCGCTGTTTGTTTGTTGTAATCTTGAGACAAAGGACAGCAGAGAGGTGTCTTTTTCTAAATTTTAGAGGCAAGGTTGTCCCTTACGATTATCAAACATATGTTAAATTATTACTGCCCGTGTGTTGTTTGAACCTAAACTTTATTTATTTTACAACAATAGCGAAACAAGCTTTCAGTCTATATCAATCCTTCTTGTTGGCCCGCATGGAAGCGTGCGGAGGTTCGTACTGTGGGAGGAAACTGGAGTATCCGGGGGAAACCCACGTGGTCGGGCAGGTGACCCATAGTTTTTCATGTTCGTTCCGGGAATCGAACCCCGGACGGCTAGGTGAAAGACGAGTACGTTACCACTGCGTCAACAGATGTCATAGTTTCAGTGCAGTGATTTTATATATGCGAAAAATGCGAAAACAAATGTTGAAATTTAGAGAGATGAAGGCCGAGAAGTTCCCTACTGTTAAAAATGATTTCTTTAATATGGTGGTATGCTGCAGCTTTTAAAGTCATGTTGTTAGGACCATAGAATTAGAGGTCGCTAGAGAGTGACAACAGGCGATGATTACAATGTTGTCATTGTCAGATGCTAGAGGATGTTCCTTGGTAGAAGAGAATGTTTCTCTTTCTTGCCATTCCCGGCTCCGCAGTTCGTCTACACATCCTTGATTCGCAACATTACCAGACTCTCTAGTGGCTGTTCTAGCTAGTCTACCAGTTACACAAGATTTCATTTCATTGTCGCACCGTGACCCTTGTCGCTCGTCTGCAAGGAAGCTGAACCTAGTTGCATTTACTGTATACAGGATGCACTCTCCTTGCGATGATTTTAACCGCACGTTGCAGAGCTGACGTTGCAGTCCTGGATGACAGGAAGTAACAAAGCCTACAGCCTAGCATGGAAAATTTGAACTGTATGATTGATAAAAAAAATCGATAACCTGCAACCATGTGAAACGGACGTAAGTAAAACTATTTGCTTTCCCTTCATCAAGAGGATAGGTCTGACAGCGTGTTAAATTATACATAATTGGTTTAAATGCTTTCAAAGACAGTTTATTTACTAGTAATAGGAATACGTCCTTGTCACGATAGAGTAGTACCTCCAATTGTTTTATCCATTGGCAGATCTACCCCCTTGAGAAAAAACTTTCGAGTTAGCAACTTTATTAACCGTTATAACAGCTCCGTGAGTTCAGACTTGATTTTGCTCAAGATCTATCATACATGTATTCTCTGTAATGTCATTCTAGGTCAGATAGACCGATGTCAAGTGTCACTTTAAGGAAATGTTCTGACAAGCGTTTGTGTGTGGTAACAATTTTACATGAATACATACTACCAGTGTCAGCAAGAGTTGGCAGTTATGGATTTCGTACGAGATTTTCTGATAACTGTGATGTAAACTTTAGCCCGATAGGTTGGAACTAGGGTGGCTAGTTCCGGCGTTGCCCCGGAATATTTAGTTGATTCTTTGATAGAGGCAGCAACAGAAGTTAGTCAGAATTAACAAGTGGTTAGTGGAAAATTCCAGTTGTTCCCACTGCAGAAGTAAAAATGTTAAAAGCAAAATTCAAACTCAAAATATATAAATTTCGCCTGTCTCTACAAATCTAAAACTGTGAAATGATAAATAATATTCCCAATTTTGTTTAGTTCATGTTTGAAAATTTCACTAACCACTACTTACCTCTCACCAGCTTCTGAACAACAGGAGCTTGGTGTCATAAGTTCTGGTACTCCACTTGTTAATAATATCGACCAACAGGAGACCCGCTAGTACTTTTATAGTCTTTTAAAATCTAGATATTAGATGTGGCAGTAGTTTATGTTTGTAACGTCTTATCACATCATAACTTCATCCTAAACTACTGTTATTAGCTTATTTAATTGTCTTTGATGAAATTTAATTTGATTTCACCCCAAAGACAAATAAATGTTGTTGTTATTAGCGTACAACATATAAATTCAGCTGAAGGCGTGAGCTCGAGAATGTATTTATACATGTTCTGTCGAAAAGAAATCGTGTTTCCATTCGTTTAATGTATGAATAACAAATTGAATAAATTAATTACTGAATGAATGACAAACTTATTATAGATAGATCTGCTGAATGAATGAACTTATTAAAGAAAGATCTGTTGAATGAATGAATGAATGAATGAATAAATGAACGTCATTACAGTGTTGAACGAGAGTCCTCTTGCATGAGGACATAATTACACACATGCTGAACCCAGGGCCCCAACCCTGGCAGTAGTCTATATGTTTACATGTTCTGGGGCATTTAAACACACGAGAAACGTTTCTTCCTTTGCTTCAAAGCATATCTTATAGGGAAAGAAGCTGCGGCGGTTACCTTTGAATCCATATCATGTACAACCTACAATCCCGTAACTCCACATTTTATAGACAATTTTTTTTTTGAAAGTCACTATATACATAATAGAATTAATTTTTACCGTTTGATTATTTTTTTTTACCGAAATCCGGTCAATTTTATCCGGAATCAAACAGACTTGGTCTAAGATATTGGTTCTGTTACCTATAGTTGATTTCCAGTACAGGAACTATTTTTCCTCTTCACCAGACTTGATACTTCCAGGGGTAGATCTGACAATTCGGGGCGACCCTGTTTCAATTTTTTCTCAGTAGTTTTAGATCTGTTATTATTTTTGATCATGCCGAGTATTGATGTTTGGTACAGTCACTACATTTTCTGGAAGATTACTACAGATTAACCACTCTCAACGAGAAAAAGTTGTGTCTTGATACGCTTATTTTTTGCCCTCTGTGGAGATATCTTTCTGCAGTTTCCTCTGAAGCTGTTCCTGGCTGTGACACTGTCACTTGGTTTGAGAATATCCTATGGGCTCTGGACAATACAGAAAATTTGCTGCTCTCTCTCTCTTTTTTCCTGGTGGTTGTTCTGTGCAAGGTGGGTGCACAAATATACGAAAATACGCGCGACTCCGGTCACGTGCCTACATTTTAGAACGAAGCATATACACGTCAGTCGTGCGTTTGACGATTTCTGTCTTTACTCTCAGTTTGTTGTAATC